CGTCCATTTTTGTTGCGTCGTTTGAAGAAAGAAGTAGAATCTCAATTGCCGGATAAGGTTGAATATGTCGTTAAATGTGACATGAGTGCACTTCAAAGAGTACTCTATCGTCATATGCAGAGTAAAGGCGTTATTCTTACCGACGGTTCTGAAAAGGATAAAAAAGGCCGTGGTGGTGCTCGTACTTTGATGAATAGTATTATGCAACTTCGTAAAATTTGTAATCATCCATTTTTGTTTGAACAAATTGAAGAATCATATGCTGAACATTTGGGACTTAATGAAAAAATTGTCTCCGGTCCAGATCTATATCGTTCTGCTGGTAAATTCGAATTGATGGATCGTATTCTTCCCAAATTCAAACAATCCGGTCATCGTGTATTGATTTTCTGTCAAATGACATCCTCTATGACTATTCTTGAAGATTATTTTAATTTCAGAAGTTACAAATATCTTCGTCTTGATGGTACAACAAAAGCTGATGAGCGTGGAGAATTGCTTTCACAGTTTAACGAAAAAGATTCTGAATATTTTATTTTCATTCTTTCTACACGTGCCGGTGGTTTAGGTTTAAATTTACAAACTGCCGATACTGTCATTATTTTCGATTCTGATTGGAATCCTCATCAAGATTTACAGGCACAGGATCGTGCCCATCGTATTGGTCAAAAGAATGAGGTGAGAGTATTGCGTTTAATCACTGTAAACTCTGTTGAAGAACGTATTCTTGCTGCTGCTAAATATAAATTGAATTTAGACGAAAAGGTCATTCAAGCTGGTATGTTTGATCAAAAGTCTACTGGTAGCGAACGACGTGTTTTCCTTCAGGTATGTTTCTTTCTATTCTTTTTTTTTTTATCTATTTCACGCTCATTTTTTTTAATTAATTTTTTTGTTTCTTATTATTTTTAGGCAATTCTTCAAAACGATGATGGCGAAGAAGATGATGAGGAAAATGAAATTCCTGATGATGAAATAATCAATCAAATGATTGCTCGTAATGAAGATGAATTTGAACTTTTCCAGAAAATGGATCTCGAACGTAAAAAGGAAGAAGAAAATGCAGCTGTTAAAAAGGCTCGATTATTGGAGGAAAAAGAACTTCCATCCTGGCTTTTGAAAGATGATTTTGAGGTTGAACAATTGACAAATGAAGATTGCGATGACAAAATCTTTGGCCGTGGTAATCGTCAACGAAAAGAGGTCGATTATTCTGATGCTTTGACCGATAAGCAATGGCTTAAAGCTCTGGAAGAGGAAGACTTT